GAAAGAGGTGCGACAACTAAGCAAAAAGAGAGAGAAAACGAAAAAATTTGGCAAACCCTAAAAATTAACTAGGGCACATGGCAAAGTGAAGAAAAAAGGAAAAAAGCGAGTTTTCTCCAAAAACCTTAGCACAAATATACTCTTTCCTTCTCTTTTAAGGTTATCGCAAAATTATTCGGGATTGAATATATAGGAAACACTACGCAAGTCGAAAAAAGATAGAGCTAGCACCCTATCGATTTTGAGTGCTTCTTTATGGATACCTGGACTACGTGGATCAATAATATAGGTTGGACAATTGGACGACTTTTCGATAAAGAATTTGGATCTATGCTACAAAAGGTAATTCTTTATTCATTACCTTAAATTCATGTATGTATGATTAATAGATTCAACGACTTGATTTTGAAGCCTTAAATGGAGTAATTTTATTTATTTATTTATTTATTTATTTATTTTGCACCTCCATATGATACATACTCCTTCACCAGTTGCCTATCTTGGCGTGGTTTTATATGCCTATAATACATTTGTTAAAAATGAATGTCAATTCCTTGGGTTGTTGTTAATCATTTTTTGTATATTACCTTTGATGATCTTGTTGGTAGACTTAGCTCGACCATTGACTTGAGCATAATAAGGGGTGGAATTTACAATTTAAAACCTCATTTCTTATGTGAAATCTAAGATCTCACTTTCATTGAATACATTGGCTTGATCCACGAGTTATGGACTTTGGAATTCTAAATCATGCAATTATTTCTTTTTTTATGATCCGAATCACTTCGTCATGTAATGCTCCTTAATGGTCTAACCTCTACCTATTTGGTGAAATAATCTATAGCCATCAATATAACGAATAGTACAATCAACAACTATAATATAAGTACTTATAAATTTTTATATCTTTCAGCTCAAACACTTGAAATGCAATAGCCTATGGTTTGTAAAAACTAATCACCTAGGTTGTAATCGAGTAGACTCGTAATTAAGTAGGCTAATAGATCATTCCTAGTTTGATTATCACATTTGTTGCAACACACGTAGATCTTGTCGCTCAATGTTTGGAGTTTGTTTAGCAATTCTAACGTTCGTAAGTTTTTATGTTTTTGCTTCAGAGTCAACATTGTTTATGCTTCAAGAGTTAGTATTATTTGTAAAGACTTCTAATTTAATATTTACATATTCCTACTTTTGCTTAGTGTTGCATTCCATAGTTCACAAACTTTTTTATTGAATTTCTAGTTAACTATTATGAGTTAATATTTTAAATAGAGATACTATTCTTATTAATATTTTAATATCTAATTAAATTTATTTACTTAGTTATTTTGGTCGTCTAATTAAGAGTTTGAAAGATGTACTATCTTACGGATTACCTTTTAACCATATTATAAAACTTTTTGTTTCAAAATTCTCTTAATTGAGATCGAGTATAAAAGAATTTACAATATTTTTCTAACAACCACAATAGGAGTGTTATTCTAGATGGCACCAAGAAAATCAAACAAAGTCTCATTTGTATGGGATGAACGTGAGGAAACTCACCCTCATAATGCAATAGTCATTGCACAGAAAGTAGTTTAGATTGAACTATGCCTAATGAGCCACAAGATGAATCCGTAATTATTCAAGCCGAGGAATGATAGATCATTTTTGAAGAAAAGGTTAAAGAATCCCTAAAAGAGTTAGGCATCAAAATAAGGCTTACATGAAACAGTTAGATGAGCAACTTAACTAAGAATGGAAGCCATAGAAAATCACTATAAAGAAAAGTTATCTAATAGCAAGACAAAATTGTCTACAAAGGCATATAGTGAACTTTTATAAGGATGTAGAAGGTTATGATAGAAGATACAATTCATCATTTAAATCTAGACCCTCTACACAAAGACTTTAAGTTATTAAAGAAGCCGGACATCCCATAAAAAAAAACCCTCTCGTTGATCCAAATATTAATTCTACAAGGATTTAAAGCTCCAATTATAAGTTTGTAAATACTAATTCTATAAAAGTTGAAAGCTCTAATTACAAGTCTCTAGGTACTAATTCTTTAGAGGTTGGAAGATTTAATTACAAGTCTAAATGTATTTATTTTGTAAGGGTTGGAAGCTCTAGGTCTACAAGCCCTACTTCTATAAGGATTGAAAGCTCCAATCATAAGTTTGCATACAATGATTTTACAAGTGTTGGAAGCTTCAAAATGCAAGTCTACATACACTAATTATGTAAGGATTAAAAGCTCTAATCACAAGTCTACGAGCACTAATTCCGTAGGGGTTGGAAGCTTTAATCACAAGTTTGCAAGCACTAATTCCGTCGGGGTTAGAAACTCTAATCACAAGTCTATAGATAGAGAATTTATAGGGATTAGAAGCTATAATTATAAATCTATAGAAATAAACTTAACAAGTACTAGAAACCGTAAATGCATATCCGTATGAACAAACTTTGTAAGAATTAAAAGCTATAATTGCAAGTATGTAGAGACTAAAAGCCGTAATTGTCAAGCTACAAATAAAAGACTTAGAAAAGCAAACCATTAACTCTTGTAACCAAACCCTAAATACATTTTAGGGGCTACAAGAAAAGCCTATGGACCTAGGGTGCCACAAATTTGCAATATGAATTCTAACTTAAATCTTAAAGTTACGATGAATAATTATGATCAAAGCATTACAAATATGAATGATTCCAAAATCTTAAGAAAAATTCAAATTCAGATCATGAAATATGGTTAATGATCAAAGCCTTAAATTAGAAAAATCACAACAAAATTTCAAAAAATATTCTATATTTAGGCCATGGAATCATGATGAATGGTCATGATACAAGTATTGTAAGGCTAGAATCAACAAGAAATATATATGTGTGTGTGTGTGTATTCAAATGAAAATGCTACCATGTTTTTCAATATCTATGATAAAAAAAAAAAAAAAAAAAGATGAAAAACAACCAATAAGAGTCCATATGACTATCTTATTCATCCATGAGAATTGCCATCTTAGTTGATTGTTAGGGTCATATAAATTGAAAGCCATATTCATTTGGTTGATCCTAAAGTTTTGTATATATGAGGTATATTTAACCTTTTATTATGATCAATTGTGGTCATGTTCTTTATTCGTAAGGCATTTAAAAAATGTGTAAGAACACATGAGTTCCATCCATTCATAAAAGAGCATTTCAAGAAGGCTTTTATATTGGATGATGAAAAAGGTGCATTCTCAAACTCAAAAAAAAAAAAAAAAAAAAAAACAACAACAACAAAGTTCATAACGAGATTTCTTTCTACATATGAGGTAAACATTCATATATAGAAAGAAGGAGAGCAGCATTTTCCATCCATTATTTGGAGTTCCTAATAAGCAAAGGAGTTAGTTATAATAAGATAACTATATAGGTTATGCTTCTTAATTGTTACAAAAAAAAAAAAAAAGGATAATTACATGAGAAAATGGAACATGATCAAGATAATATAGTATTGCGAAGCACAATAATAGAAAACCTAACAAAACATGGAACACTTCTAAGGATTATGGAGTACTATAACGGATCATGAAGGAGCCAAGAGCTTATAAATACCAACTACAACAAAGGAGGAAAAAACACAACAACGAACAACACAATCAACAACTATAATACAAGTCCTCTTGTAAATTGTTAGTTTTATCTTTCGATAAATACAATATGCTATAGTTTATAAGCAATAATCACTTAGGTTGTAATCAAATAGGCAAATAAATCATTCCCGGTTTAATTTTTACTTTCATTACAACACACGCAAATCCAATCTCTTAATGTTTGGAATTTGTTCGAGGCGTTCTAGCGTACGTAAGTGTTTATGCTTTTGCTTGCGAAGTCAACATTATTTATGCTTTTAGAGTCGGTATTGTTTGTAAAGACTTTTAATTCGAGTATTTACAAATTCCTACTTTTGTTTAGATTTACATTCCATAGTTCACAAATTTGTCAATTGAATTTCTAGTTAATTATCGTGAGTTAATTTGTGTTTTGAAGAGAGATAATGTTTTCATTAGTATCTTAATATCTAATTAAATTTATTTGCTTAGACATTTTAGCCGTCTAAATAAGAGTCTAAAAAATAGACTACCTTACATATTGTCTTCCAACCATATTATAAAACATTTTGTTTCAATGTAATCCTCTTAGTTGAGGTCAATACAAAAAAAAATCCACAAGACTAGAATAGTCAATGAAGAGCAAAGGAAATATAAAATGCTGACAGAATTAGGAAGGAAGAAAGAAAAGAAATTTAAGTATTTAGAGTTTCGGATACCACATAAAAATAAAAAAAAAAAAAAAGTTGATAATATTCAAGGTGAATCCATCAATATCATCTATTGATGTTTACATATACATACAAGAGTAATACATATTGAAATGATATATAAAACATCAGCTTAATTATATGTCTATTATTATAATATAATCAATTAAGATTATCACATGTAACACAAATGTAGCCTTAATATTTGTAACAATATGGGTTTTCGAGACTTGAGAAATTCAATTATGCTCTCTTGGTAAACAAGCCTGGGGCCTTTTGACAAGGAAGGATGACTTATGGGCCAGAGTCCTGAGGGATTAACTTCCCAAATGCAGACTTTTTGAATGCCACGAAGGAGCTATGGCCTCGTGGGCATGATCAAGCATTCTACAGGGGAGAAACTGGTTGATGGAAGGCCTTCCATGGAATATTAGTAATGATAGAAGCATAAGAATTTGGAGGATAAATGGATTCCAGGTCTGGATGGCTTCAGTGTCCAATCAGCTAAGCCTACCCTTTGTGATGTCACGACGGCAAATGAGCTCCTTCATGTAGGATTGCCTTCTTGGAACATCTCTAAACTAAGAACTTTATTTACCGAGGAGGAGGTGGCATTAATCCTTCTAATTTCTTTGAGGACCATATTGTTTGGCATCATCACAGAAAGGGCTTCTACACAGCCAAATCCTGATATTGGTTCATAAGCCAAATGGGAACTGGTCATGAAAGTGGGGCAGGTACCTCTACAAGATTCTCGGGTTCTTGGAAACCAGTTTGGAGCGTTCATGTCCCGCCTAAAATCAAGAATTTTGTATAGAGGGCGATCAGAAATATCATTCCTAGCCAAGCAAACTGTTTCAAAATATATGTTGCTATATCTCCCATGTGCTAAATCTGTAATAGATAGAGCAGAAGAATCAGTGGAATACTTTCTTTTCTTTTGTGATCCTGCAAGAACAACTTTGTTTGCAGCGAACTTGGTTAATCTCCTTCAAGAGTAGGTTTTGGAAGATTTGGCCAATGGTGGGGAGCCTAGGCAAGCTTGTAAATGATTTAAACAGACCTGATATCTCTAATTTGCCTGCTTGTATCTGCCGGCAGATTTGGAACAGTAGAAAAGGCTTTGTCAAGGAAAATCTAGGCATCGATCCTCTCATAATTGCTCAAAAAGCCAAGTATTTTGATGCAGAATTTCAGTCGGCCAGGATACCTTCCACAACCGCAGCTCAAGCCAACATCTGTCGTCAAGTACAAGCGGTGAAATGGACAAGACCTGAACATTGTGAACTGAAATTGAATTGTGATATATCATATGTTCAAGGATCTTCTTATGCTGGAACTGGTATTGTTTATAGAGACTCCAATGGGGCCTTAATTGATGGCAGCGGGCTGGTTTTCAATTGTAGATCAGCGGCACCAGGAGAAGCCCTAGCTATTCGCGACTTCAAGTGATTATCATTGAATCTGATGCTGCCGCTAAATATTGTGTCAGCCATGCATCATGGATTCTACCTCTAACATAAATTGGAAGATAGCACCAATTAATTTTTAAGGATATAAAGCACCATCTGCATACCCTTCCTCCTGATTGGGTTCATAACCCCTTCATAGCCTTATCTGATATTTCAGTGTTATGGATCGCATTTGTTAATAATTAAATAAATAAAACCAACTGTAAAGTGTAAACTATGTTGTTCAAGCAATTCATGTGTTCTAATTTATTCTATTACTATAATATTAGATATTATATGTGATTTATTTAATTATTTGATATTTATAGTAATGAGATATTCTCTAGTTTGTTTGTTCATCCCATCGAGACTAAATCAACTACTTTCTGAATTAGATTAGCATTATATTATACATAGGATTTGATCTATTCCAAGAATCAAACTTTTTGAACCCACTAGTAATTGATATCTAGTGTCACACTAAGAAAATGAATAAGTTTTTTAAAAAATAAAATTTGAACCATTGACCTAGTGAATTAAAAACACTCTTGTTACCACCCACCTATACCTTTATGTAGTAAAATAATAAGAGGGAGAAAATAGAAATATATGTGTGATTTTATCAATATATTATAATATATTGATATTATACCGTATAATATAAATATATGCATGCCTTGAATATGAATAATGAAGTATTACTAGGATGTCATTTTAGTTATTGAGTTTTATATGAAAAGTGTTGTTTTCATTTTTATTTTTATTTTTTAAACTGGAAAAATATTTTCCCTCCTTTAAAACTTTATTTATGCATTGACTGGAAAGTAATCTCTGTGAATTAGTTTTTCAAACTTCCTATTCATGTTTAACAGAGAGATTATTATGTGATAATGCTATATACTCTCATAAAAATGGAACCAACTATGATATATATATATATATATATATATATATATAATTGGAGTATTTTTAAATCAGTTTTTACATATCAAAATTAATTATTTTTTCGTATCAAGTTTTAAGGAGATTATTTAATGCATTCACAATGATAAAATTATGTTCATTTAGTTAAGCTGCTTTGCTATTTTTAATTAATAATTAAACATTAACAACAATTTGGGAGGAGAAAAAAATGCAATATAGTCATTCAGTCTTTTATGTTAATTGTCAAATCATCATTAGATGAAAAATTAGACAAAAAAACTTGATTGATATTAAATACTAAAACGAAAAAATAAAAATTAACGTACTTGATTGAAAAAAGATTCTAATTTAATGGACGCAGGATTACCTAATAATTCACTCGAAAGGGTATAGAAAGATTTGAGTGGATCAAGCCCATAAATCTTGTCTGAACATCAAAGTGACTAAATTGGGGAAAACACCATTCTCCAAAAAGGCCTTTTAGGCCCAGTCCGATAAAGCCCACTTCATCCCTTTCCCTTCTCCATCTTCGTCCAGATCAATAACTTCAAACTTGCGCACTTTTAATTTCCAACGTAAAAGCAAGTGGCAAATACAGACCCATCTGCTGAATTCAGTTCGATCTTCTCGTCTTTGCTGCTTTTTTTTGGAGATTTTGGTTTCTGGGTCAGTCACCGAATTGCTTTACACAAACAAAATGGTAACTTTTAGATTGAAAAATCCCATATTCTTTTAAATATTTGCTTCAATATTGATCTATGTGAATTCCCTTTTAATTTTCCTCTTTGTATCTACTGGATTTTCTTATTAGATACGGCATTTGTAACGTTAAAGAGATCACTGAATATGATTGGGATTTGGTGCTTAATCATTCAATATTCATCTTATAACATGTATGGGAGTTTGGATCTGATTGTAACATTCGATGGGGGTTTTGTTTTTCTTCTATAGCTCTAGCGTATGAGGGATCGAGGGTTTCCTTTCGATTTGTAGGCTATGTTATTGATAAATGGTTGATTGTTGAGGATCTTTAAGGGATTGACTGATTGATTGTACTAAATTCTACTAGGTAGGAAACAAGTTTTTGCCTGTAGTGTCAGAATTGCAATTATTAGGATATTTATGTAATTGTCATAGTTTTAGCGTATGATTGTAACACTCATATTAGTTTTTGTGCAGATAGAGCTTGAGATGAATATAAACCATTTCATCTCATGCAATTTTTCCAAATATGCTTTTCCTGGCAGGATTTAGTAATTAATCAATGAATTAGTTTTCAGCAATTTTGAATTGAATACAAAGTGTAAAGTTTCTATGTTAGTGGTGGTTTAATTGTTCATCCTCCTACATGTTTCAGATTCAATTTGTACTTCTCATTAGTCGACAAGGAAAAGTCAGATTGACAAAATGGTATTCACCTTATACCCAAAAGGAAAGAAGTAAGGTATTGACAATAATTTCTTCTCTTTGAGATTTTTGTGTTGTAGATCGTCAACTCTCTGATATGTAAATTTTTGAAATGCTATGTTGTTGATGAGTTTTTTTGGACCTTGTAGTAACCTATTTTACACTGTTCAGTTGTATATTGAACATTTTTCTATTGATACAGTTTTCTGGAATTAATGAACATTTTCTTACATCATCAATACTTATTTTTGTATCTTAATGCACCTTGAGAAGGTCATCCGTGAGCTCAGTGGAGTAATTTTGACTCGAGGACCCAAGCTCTGTAATTTTGTTGAATGGAGAGGACTCAAAGTTGTCTATAAAAGGTAAAGCTAGAATATGATTCAGTGTTTTGGAGCAAATCTCTGGAATATGCTCGTCCGTCCATCTTAGAGCTGACAATCTTTATTGGTTCCCATATTCATATCGAGCAGATATGCCAGCCTTTACTTCTGCATGTGCATTGATCAAGATGACAACGAATTAGAGGTCCTTGAGATAATTCACCATTTTGTTGAGATTCTGGACCGATACTTTGGCAGTGTGAGTGAACTTAGACTGTGGTTTATCATAAGGGCTGCAAAGTCTTTTGTCTGGGGTTCTAGTTTCCATTTAATGGTTTGCATTTGTTGATAGTTTAGTAATTCATATTTGCTTCCAGGTCTGTGAGTTGGACTTGATCTTCAACTTCCACAAGGTATGCTTTCTTGTTTTCCAGTTTAAGTTATATTTGGTTTTTATAGCATTTGAAAGTTAAAATTTGTTCTTTACACCATATTCTTAAGTGTGAGTCGATGCCAGAAGTGGTTTTTTCCAAACTTGCCTTGGTAAATAAAGCATATATTACTTCTCCCATGCATGGATATGAAAGTTTCTTTGCTTATATATTTGTTTGCTTCTTTAACATTGAAGGCCTACTATATATTGGATGAGCTTTTGATCGCTGGTGAACTTCAAGAGTCCAGCAAGAAAACAGTTGCCAGGCTAATAGCTGCACAGGTACAGAGCCTTTTATTGTCCGCATACAATGACTTCATTTGTTGATTTGTCAGGATTTCTGAGTGCTACCTTATTTGAACTGCAGGATTCATTGGTGGAGACTGCAAAAGAGCAGGCCAGTTCGATAAGCAATATTATTGCCCAGGCCACAAAGTAGGATACCAGATTGGTTAAACTTCGAAGTGTGGTTCCATTTGTATTGAATTTCATTCTTGAGATTTGAAATGTATGTTACGTATGCTTTCTTGAGGACTGTTCATTAAACTATATGTTAAATGTGGCTCATATGTATGCTGATGGAGGATCAGTCGAGGTCTTGATCCAGTGAAGATGACTAACTCAAATGTTCTGAAGAGTATTATATCCACAGTAAGGATTTAGTAGTAGAAAGTAATCAATTGGAGCCTACCTCGTTGTACCAAAGATTGATCAACGTGGTATTTTGGTAGAAATTCTGATCGCTAAAAGCCATTCTAGTTTGGCCTCTTCACTGATGGAAACGCGAATGAAATAGACAAAATGAATCACTTCCATTCTATATTATTGCCATACTTATAGTCTTGACAAGATCTTTAAGAGTACTTTAAAACCAACAATCTCAAGTTTGAACTCAACCAGCCAAGGAGTTGGTTTTTTTTTTTTTTTTTTGCAAGAAAAAAACAAAATGATGATGATGATGCTAAACTGTTGCAATTGATTTCTCATCCTGCAAGCAACTTTCGAAATTGAACAGAAAGCAATGGGCACTTCCAAATTTCAAAAAATTAAACCTCAAATTTTCAAATTCAAGCATCAGAATATGACATGTGAAAAACGTTACTATTTTCTTAAAAAGTGGACTGCAATGGTGTTCCTCACAACTAGGAAAAAATTTATAACTTTTTGCAAGCAAGTGCTTTCCTAGAGCAAAGGCGAAACTATTCATATATACTTACGTTGTGAGGAATATTTCATTCAGAGAAAAAGAAAAGTGTTTTCACTATGATTGCATGCACAAAAATTACTAACAATTGACTGAGAATGATCAAGTGATGCCAGTTCATCCTTTGCGCATTCATAAGGTCAAGCCATATAACTATTTTGAAGAGACACTAGCAACCAGCAAACCAGCCTATCTCAGAAACTTATATTAGCGGGATCAGGATTGGGTAGAGGGAACTCCCAATAACCCCAAAATATATGTTCTGACACCACAATAATCATAATATATGTGCCCACTGCCACTCACATTCCATTGATGAGATAATCATCTAGAAATTAAATATGATTTTCTAGAAATTAAAAAAAAAAAAAAAATTGGGGTTTATCAAACAAATTCAATTCATCAAGTGAAAAAATATATTTTCAGCCTGTGAAAAGTACAGGTTGTATAATAACGTGACAGTGATTAAATTTCAATTATGTTTCTTTCTTGTCCTACAAAAATCTGCTGATCATCAAAGAAAATTCCCCAAGTCCCAACTATATGTAGAAATTGAAACTAGACATTCATATAAACTGCAAATTACACGCACCGATAGTATAACAATGATTAATGAGACTATAATTGATCAGAAGAAGGAAAGTTAGATACAGGTCCTGCACTCATACCAAGATGAAGTAACTTTTAACCATTGAACAATTCTCCAGGAAAAAAAAATTGAATGAAATAATCAGAAAGAACATAAAAAAATAAACAAGAAAGTTTGTAGGTGCATTGTAAATCTTTTTTTTTTTTTTAGCTTAACAAGAGAACAAAGTACACTCAACAATAAACACAATTTATATTGGAAATTAATTACCATGAACCATTGTCCAACTTCTCTCGAGCATAGACTATAGTTATAAATCTGTTCTGACTTCAAAATTTTGGCCAATCACAGACTAGTGTAAATTCTCCGAAAAAGTTAAGAAGCCATATTTCTCTCTTTTTTTTTTTTTTTTTGACATCTATTTATGACTAAAGAACCATAACCTCAAACCTGTAGGGCGAAAAAAAAAATATCAGCAGTGTGATGCTTCCTTGTGATCTCTAGGCAGAAAGTAGCCAACTGAAGGCTCTGACGCATCAAAATGAGAAAGGGGACATACCACCATATACTTACAATGAACTTCAGAGACTCACAGCATACCTCATAAATGCAGGACCAGAAATAATACAACCTCTAGAGAAATTGCCAAATCCAGTAAGATTAACATAAATGATTCTTATTCAGGATGCTGGAATTCAAGATCTAGTTTCCTCTTTAGATGAGATCTGTCAGCACTGCACAAGGAAAAAAAAAACATGTATCATTACAGCACATCCTAGATGAACCAATATGGCAAATTCTTGCATGCCTAGCTTAATGAAGAAAATATGCTGAAGTCCACATTTTGTCTCTAATAATTAGGAAACAGAGTTCTAAATCCATAATCCACAATTTGAATGACGAGAGATGATCCTAAGTTTCATCCATCAACCTCATTTAAACGCAAATTTTACAGATGAAATTTTCAACCTTGTAAAAAAAAAATGAGTTGGGACTAAATGCTAGAATTTCTTTTGTGCCATCAGGTTAGCTTTTGTTCCTTTAATCTAATGTCGCTTTTTTCAGTCCTAGGAGCCTGCCTTGTACATTCCCAATGTACATGTGTAGCATTCGTAACCACATTCGATTTAACACAACTCACCCTCCCCCATAATCCCCAACAAAGTGGAGAAAAAAGGCCCCAAGGGATCATCCTATTTAAATCTTGAAGCTTAAGCCCATTTAATCTGAAAACTTGTAGCCCTGACTCTGGGTCACATATGAGACTTCTTATGAAAATACATGAAACTAAGAATACAATCTAAACTCCACCTTCAAGTTTAGCGGGCTGAACGTTATTTGCTTTCATAATATTTTGGGAAATAGACAGTTTTAACCATTTTAAATGATTCTTAGAGGTAGTTTTACCTGTTAATTGTTGGTCTGCTCATTGGTTTTGATCCAAAAACAGAAAAATCTACTGACATCGGCACCTGTTCATTCCTGCCTGTGTTATCCCCAGCTGCCCATCTGATCTCACCACCACGTTCATCAATCTTATCAACTTGGAATGCATTTCCATCAAAGCCTTCACGATCTGGCATCACTCTTCTTGCCTTCCTTTTTGGAGACAAGACAGTAGGACCCTCATGTAAATTTGAAGTCCTAGGATTGTGCGATTCTCTTTTAGGAGCTGGCCTGGGGAGCTTAGCCGGATCTGTGGGCAGAGGTACAGATGTAAAGTACCTAGAAGGAAAACAGAGATGAGAGCAGGAAACCAATGATAATTTAGATTTCTAAATTGAAAGATTTTACAAACCTGTGCTCCAATGCCTGTTGCACTGAAATTCTAACTCTTGGGTCATATGTAAACATCTTAGACAACAGATCTAAGGCATCATCACTAGCCGTTGGGCACAGTTTTCGCCAAGGTTGAGCAATCTGAGATGAATATTCTACAAAATCAGGAAGCCATTCCAAATCAGGCCACTGTGAATGAGTTGGAGTCCCCAACTTCTGAAAGATCTTTCCTAGTTGATCAATGTCACTATCCCCCTGTCAGACAGTCAAAGTTAAGCTGGTTATGCAAATAGGTGGTGATTGCATAATACTCTATGGGCATACAATTGATAAACATCAAAAAATTAGCTAAATGTTTTTACAATAAAATGAGCTTCAGCCAAATCAGTTTGTATTCACTATTCAGCATGTTCTTAGAAAGGACAGCAAAAGGAAGAAAAGATATGTACATATTTTAGATAATGCATCTAGGCAGAAAATGCCTATTGATTCACAATTGACTGCAGCACCCAATTGCTCAAGCCTTCAATTATTTAAAGGAAAATGGTCAGATGAGATACCTTGTTATTGGTGTTTAGCTAAGCAGATTTTTGTGGGGAAACATACATAAAAGAAACAAGCTAAACGTCTCTAACAAAGGCATGGAAAGGCTAAAATTCCCAACAATGTCCATTGATGAATCGAGGAAATGACTTGGTGGAAGAGGAAAATTCATACAAGTCTAATTCACAAAAATAGAATTGGAACTTCTGGATAATTCTCCAATTAATGTACTTGGTGAATTACTGTTTGGGAAACTAACTTGAATGTATTGGTCCCATGCACACTGTGCCTTTATTATATAGAAGAATAATACTATTACCAGATGGAAACAAATAATTACAATCGAACAGGAAAAGGTATCCTCAAAGGATTAAAAAATAAAATAAGAGCATAGGACTGGATGATTCCATTGAATGCCAACTAAAGCACACCCCACCAATAGCCCAAAAAAGGTGGTGCGTAAAGAAAGGGGGAAATCTATCGCACACAAAGCTCCAGGTTGAATGATCCACAAAGATTCAATGCCACACCAAATAATTTTGAACACATCACAACTTCATGGGTCTTGGAATTCCTCTCCCTTGTGAACCCCCTCAAAACCACAAGCAACAAATCTTCTACTCTACCAGAAGTCACCAAAGATTTTGCCACAAATAGACAAAACCTAGTGCCACATATCACAAGCTACTGGAAAATGAAAAGGGAAAGGATGACTCCACGTCTTCCCCTTGTTATGGGGAAAAAAAACAATAAATTTTAGGAAATGAGACATTGCATGGCACAAAAACATGTAAAAAATTGGAAAGGATTCATCTTACTAAGAACAACCAACAGAAAAAGAGCTTTAACCTTAGAGAGTGCCTAGCCTTTCCAAATACAATTGACCAAGGGGAATTGCACAAATTTAAATATAATGGTCTAAGGTTGGAAATGAAAGATTTACAAGAAAAAATGCCAAACTCATCCCCTATCACTTTAGGCCTATTTTATCACACATCTTAGAATTTTTATGCCACATCTTTCAATGTGCGGACACTAACAATGAAGATCACACTGCCATTGCACACACACACACACACACACACACACAAAAACACACAAAAAAAAAAAAAAAAAAAAAAAAAAAACCCCTTAATTGCAGGCTATGCAGTTAAAAGCGCTTTCACGGAAATAGTTCCAAGCGTGAGAAATAGATTCATCATGAAAAGTTTTCTTCCTTGATCATCATTAGAATGGACCCCCTTGACCTCTGACCCAGGTGTTAGTCTTAGCATTGAGGCAAGGCATAGAATTGAGTTCACAGTTTGCAAACAATCACAAAAAATATTCCAAGATTAAGGAGAAAGTAATGACTTAAAGAGTGAGTTCACTGGTAGGCAACATAGCAATGAACGAAACTCGAGATCCAATTGCAAACCTTGTTTATAGAGCTCAAGCTCCCAATTTTATAATTAGATATCCAACTGCAAACAATGTTTAAAAGTACAATTTTAATCCACACAGAACTCAAGAGGAAAAAGAATAGGCCAACTGCACAACTAATATTACTGCTAAAAGTATGAAACATTTTTTCAAGTGTGAGAACTACATAGATGAACCAGGCATGAAAATCTACTCACCTGTAGGAATGGTCTGCGGTTAAGTAGCTCAGCAAATATACAACCTGCAGCCCATACATCAACACCAGCACCATACTGCTTGGCACCAAACAAAAGTTCAGGTGCTCTATACCATCGAGCAAAGACCTATACATAATTGTTTGAAACTTGAAAGTTTAATTTTAAGTAGAAAATAAAAAAAGTGTGATATAGCACAAAATTAAGGAAAATGATCAAAGCAATGCCCAAATATGAGACAAGCATAAATAACAAAGAGAATCTGGCATCAGCATGAGAAGAAGAATGGACACAGGTTAATTAAAACAAATACCAAGTGCAAAATTTAAAATGATGGAAAAAAATAAAGAAAGAAAAGGAAAAAAGGGATGATTTATTCATCTCAGCATCACTCCTGATACAGGATGTATGGTTCATAAACTAAGATTTGAAATGGTTCCACACCAGTCAAATGTCATATGATCAGCTATCACTGCTACTAGCTAAGCTTATTTCTTAAGCAAAACATTATATCAGATCTTAGTTATCAAAATCCTTTAACAAAAAAAGCTTGAACATACACACTTACTTGGTGTGTGAACTTGCGACCCGGACTTCCAAACAGGCGCGCTAAACCAAAATCTGCAAGTTTGAGCTGCCCATTAGATCCTATCAACAAGTTATTCGGCTTCATATCCCTGCAAAGCACAAGCACCATATGTTTGATCCCAAATCTAGCAACTATTAACATCACAAACTAGCTCCTGAACAACAATGCAATACCTATGCAAAACCCATTTCTTATGGCAAACAGCTAGTCCTTTCAATGTCATCTGAAAGTATGATTTTATATCCCCTGGTGAAAGGAATATATTTGGGTCCCGAATAACCGCTTCAAGATCAGTCTCCATGAACTCAAACACAAGATGCAAGTTCCCTTTGTGAGGGAACGCATCGATCAACTCAATTATATTTGGGTCTCTAATCTCCTTAAGCAGTTTAATCTCTCTAAGTGCCGTAAAATTAACTCCTTCCTTTTGTTTTCCGAGCCGAATTTTCTTGATTGCAACTGTCTGTCCTGTCTGCAACATGCCAACACTATGATTTAACAATATAAAAACAACTTTATAGAACCTTACCCCCCATTTTAATCCCTTCAAACAATTACCCTATAAATACCCACTTAAAAATCTGATCAAATTAACTAAAAGCAAATTAATATTTTTGCTAACCAAAATAACTCCCTGAAAACCAAAATTAAAAGCATTTTTCTTTCTTTCTTTCTTTCTTTCTTTCTTTCTTTCTTTTTTCCTGTTTTCCTTAATTTCTTTAAAACCAAACAAAACAAACCCTAAAAAGTTCGAAATTTCTTCAATTTTTAGTTTTATATATAAATAATAAATCAAACAAAACAGGGCCTAAAGATTCAAGACTTCCAGTTTTAAGGGAAAAAATCCAGCTATAATTAATTTATAGAAATAGAAAGAAACGAAAATATGAAAAATTAATTACCTTAGTATCGATGGCTTTGTAGACAACACCATATGTACCTTCACCAAGAATCTCTCGCTTTAGATATCTATCCGCTACTTTCTTCTCCACATCATTCTCTGACATTCTCGATTTATTTTATCTTCCTTTATTTTCGTTCAATCTTAAATCAATCTTGATTAGGGTTAGGGTTTTGGATTTATGAAGGAATGCCCAAGAAAAAATTGAATTTCAGACAAGAGGAGAGGGTTCTCCTTCTATTTTCAGCACAGCAGTAAAGGCTACACTGCGTAAATTGCTAGACTGAAAGTGCCTAAAGAAACGAACAAGATTGGGATAGAGGAAAGGCAACATCTATACAATAAAGTAATTTACAAATTGATCCATACAGTTTGATGCCAGTGCAATGTGGTGTCTATAGCTCTGATTGTTTTTAACTTACTCTATTTTTCTTTTTCTTTTTTTTTTCTTTTTCAAAGTTTATAATTCCTCGTGATGTTCTTTAAGAATTATTATTGGGTAATGGTTGTAGATGTCTTTCGTTTTTCCTTTTTTTGTGTTTCATTTTTATCCTGATTTTCTACTCTCTCTCTCATAAATTCATCCCTTTTATAATTGATTTTTATCTTAATATCATTCTTTCATTAACTTTTTGGATTAACGATGTTAAACCGCACCGTTAGCTCTATGTTTGAGATGTTTATAAATTAATTAAATGGTTTAGCAGATTAATTCATAGTTAAACAAGAAGTTAATTTGATCAAATGGAAATTAGAAACTAAGCTAACAAAAGGATTAAAGGTTAAAATAATAAATGGTTTTAATTGATATAAGTTAATTAAAAGAATTAGTTAATCCTAAACCAAAACGGCTTCCAAAGAGTTAAGCGAATTATTTAATCTCCAATGGACTAAAGTATGTTATAATCAAGTTAATTAATTGAAATAGATATTCTAAATGATAGTTAATTAATAAAGGTCAAAATGATTAATTTTAGTTAAATTTGAATTTCCAAAAAAAATAAATAAATAAGATATATGTTTAATTAACTTATTAAATGGACAAAGTTAGAAACTGATTATTTTACATTGTTAACTAAATTAATTATCCAAGTTATATAAAAATTATTTAAAGAAAATTAAAGGAGCAAAGAGCTTAATTTCAATTTAAAGTATTATTTAAAAATATTTAACTTAGATTTTATGAGTATGAGTTTTTAGGTATACTTATAGGCTAAAATATTAACACATTGTAATAAAAGAAATCAAAATAAATTGTTAAGTTATAATGATTGTGTTCATTAAACGAATATAAGTTAGAAAAATTTCATAGCCATTTTAATTAAAAGGTAAGCCTACTTATATAAATTAAGTAAGCTTCGCGATGAATATTAATTATTTAGGCGAGATAATGGCATGAGCCTTACTTGTCTCATATTCATTGCAATAAGAATATGAGACGATGTCAATAACACTCTCAACCTACTTAGGTCTTAGATTAGAGTATTATAGAGTGATATCAAAACAGATTTGACCTAGTGGCATGATTTAGGAGACCAAAATGGTACACGTAAGCTCGGACTCCAACGACATTATCAAAGAGTAAGTGTTTATATTACTTAGACACGTATGTGTGATAATGTTTGTAAGTGTGTTTAGTATGATTCCTTGCTATGCTTCCTTGATTGCATTATATTGTGAATTAAGCATTAGTAGAATTATGTATGCTTGCTTGAATGATGATATGTAATATATTGAAGTGCAAATAAGTTTCGGTTCGTCGCCAATAACGAAGTGGGTCCAAGTAAGAGGAATAATAACAATAAGACTCATCCGGATAAGAGGACCTCGGATCACGAAGAACAATTAATGATGATGTTAAAACAACAATGAGAAATGATGCGAGTGGATGTTGGATATGCAACGGAAGAATGTAGTGGTGAAAAAGCCACCGTAAAGGATTGATATTGTCGAACGTTTCCAAAAATTTAATCCAAATGAATTTTTAGATAAACCTAACCCAATGATTGTAAAGGAATGGATTGAATCTTTGGAAATGATATTTGATCACATGGCTATAGGTGATGCAAAATGGGTGTCTTGTGTCATCTTTATATTGGCTAAGGATGCTCGAATCTAATGATAATCTGTGAAGATTTCCTTAAACGTGACAAACCTCACATGGGCATGATTCGAAGAGGTGTTTAATAAGAAATATTTCTCGTACATTATAAAGTCAAGGAAAATCCAAGAGTTTTTGAAATTAGAACAAAATGACATGACGGTAGTTGAATATGTTCGAAGGTTCGAACATGATTGTCATTTTGCAACATTTATTTCGGGTGATGCAGATCGAAAAAGAGGTCATTTCTTAAAAGGCTTAAAGCTTGAGAGTCAAATTTTAGCATGAGTGTCCACAAACGACTATGGTGAGATGGTTAGTCGAGCACTCAAAATGGAAAGAGATCAAAAGGAGTTGGTACGACTTTAAAGGCTCAAATAGCCTTATATGACAACTAATGCCAATGGGCAAATTGTGGGAAAAAAATCAACTTATGAAGGTATAGACAAATGGTACCAAGAAAGGAAAAAAAAATTAAGGGGGCCCAAAGGATGAAAGGACAAGTTAAGCCATATTGTAGTAAGTGTGGTCAACCACACGTTGGAGATTGCTTGATGGGTTACCGACGTATGTTATTACTATAAAAAGCATGACCACCTAACTAAGGATTATCCTAAAAAAAATAAGGCCATATCAAAGGTAGTAAAACGAGTATATGTAATGACACATGAACCGATAAAGGATGACATGCATGATGAAAAGGGTAAATAAATCAAATTATGAGAATAAAATTTATATAAGTGGGGAGGATTTGTAACACCCCAATTTAGGACGTTTCTATGTATGCATATATGTTTTTTTTTTATATAGTAAATGTATGTGTGTTATAGGTATGTTTTGTTAAACATGTAAATAATTATGTTTAATGTATGAATAAAATATGTGTTTTATGCTTGTATAAAATTGTGCTTAAGTTTATTTATTTATTATTTAATTTTGCATGATTAACTTGTTAAGGGTTAAAGGTATGTGGGAGGATTAAGAACTTAATTGTAACAATTAAAAGTTTGGATACTTGACTGAAATGATTAGAAAACTTAAATGGCCACTATAAGACTTAGGAAAGCTTAGATTAAGGACTAAATTGAGAAAATTGGAATTATTATTTTAGATTGTTGGGCTACCCGATTTATTGCTCCACTTTGCCATTAGGTGTTCGGTTTCTCTTTAACGAATAAGTCTTCTCTTTATTTGTCATTTGATGTTGTTGGTCTTTTATTTGTTTCTCTTTTTGTCTGTTATTCACTAATTATACTTGCGTACTGGTTGCCTTTCATTGAGCAACAGGGATCTTTTAGTTCACTTGCTTTTTTCTTTCACTTAATTATTTTCCTCTCTTGCTTGCTTTATGCCCCATTGTTTTTAAAGCGGTTGGCTCATTTGCTTTGTTTCTTGTCTCAATATAAACGTTTCTTCTCTTTTGTGCCATACATTTTGTGTTTCTCCCGCTTTAATCACTAATGGTCTTTCCTCCTACTCTTTCTTTTGGATTTTTATGCTTTTATATTATTGTGTGTGTATGTGCCACGCGCTTGGGTTTTTTTATTTGTATTTATTTTTCTTCCTTATTTATTTGCTAAATTTCTTTTTTTTTTTTTTTTTGCCTTTTATATTCTATCACTACTTTTTTTCTTTCATCTATTATTTCTTCTTTCTTTTCTCGCTTATAGTGCTTGTTCTAGCTATCTTTCCTATCTTTTGTTTGTTTCTTCCTTTTTTTCCTCTAGTTACTATTGGGTCATGATTGTTGTGGACTTTAGGGTCATGGGATTTCTTTACTTTGTTAGGTTTGCTTTCTTTCTTTATTGATTTAATTTTGCTACTTTGTTTAGATAGAGAGAAAGGCTTTTTTGGTGCCCAATCTTTCAATTTTTTTATGTTTTGGTGTCCAACCATTGATTTCTCATGATTGATTACTAAAAATTTGATTTTTTATTTGTTTTGGTGCCTAAGTTCACTTTAATTCTGATTTTGCTTATGCATTCGGTGAGATCTACCATGTGGCAATAAAAATGCACATGGCGGTAAAAAAAGCAAAGTGATAGTCAACTCTATCATCTCAACACATCATACTTTTAGGTAGCTATAAGCATTCAAATAGAAATAAATCAAACGTTAACCGTTGAAATTGAAAAAAAAAATAAAGATTAGGCACCTAAATAGGAAAAAAATATCAATGGTTGGACATAAAAATAAACATTTTTCTTAAGAAAATTATTTTAGTTTTCTCAACCAAATGTTTATCTCTTTCTTGTACTTTGATATATCTTTTCTTTATTATAAATAGATTTCATATATTTCTTGTGCTTCTATAATCTTTTTATATATATAATCTCTCAAAAATTTCTTTTGATATTAAAAATAATATAATTCTAAATTCTAAAAACATCGGCAATTACATGTATACATATTTTCTTATTATTATGCTAATTGCATAAGCAATTTTAACAATTCATTTATTTTTAATTTAATTCATAATTTACTTATTATCTCTATAATTATCGTCATCACTATAAAAAAGTATTGCACTTTAAATGCTCAAATAAAAAAAGCTTAATCACTAAATTTATTTTTATCGATTATATCCTATCTCGACTTACTAAAGTTCAACAAGCTATTAGCTACAATAAGCTTATGTCACTCATGATATCTTGGTCAATTTTCTCTCTAAATAGAGGAAGCAATTTTTATTTTTTATAACTTTTTCCATTGATCAACCATTTTTTCCGTAAATAGCAATCATAATTGAATCTTATTTATCTTTTATTTTTCTAAATTCAATCTTAATTAGACAATATATATATATATATATATATGAATTAAATGACATAGTTTTAAATTTGTCTAGACATGTCAAAGGGTTTAGAATTTTTAAAAGTAATTTTTAACTAATACGAGTACTAAAAATTATCATTGATAAGTAAAAAAATAAATACCACGAGTATGATATGAAAAATAGTTATTAGAAATTATTGGACTAATTTTACAATCTCGAAACAATAAATTTCTTTAAAAAACTACATATTTGGTACCCAATCTTTAATTTAATTTTTTTTGTTTTGTTTTAATGCCTAATCTTTGATTTTTTTTTTATTTGAGCGCTTATAGCTACGTGAGAGTATGAGGTACCGACATGACGGGGTTGGTTGCCAAGTGGTATTTTTTATTACCACGTGATAGATCTCACCGGACACGTCGAGCACAATCGGGATTCGGGTGAACTCAAGCACTAAAACAAACAAAACAAATCAAAGCTTCGATAGTCAACCATGAGAAATCAACGGTTGGGCACCAAAACGGGAAAAAAAAATTGAAAGGTTAGACACCAAAAAAGCCTTTCTTTCGTTTAGATATTCTCTATTTGTACTATAATCATTGTCTGTCTTTCTTTGACCTTTTTTTTTTTTTTTTTAGGTTTTCATGCATTTTATTATGGTATGTGTCTCTTGTTTTTTCTCCTCTTTCTATTTTTTTTTGTTCTTAATTTATGGATTCAATTCGTTTGGTGTTTTTTTTTTTTATTCTATCATTGCTTTTTTTTTCTTTTTATCTCGGTTTTTGTTCTTTGTTTATTGCTATCCTTTTTTATTTATACTTGCAAGTCTTATTCTTTTCATATGTATTTGCTTCATCTTATTCTTTTTATGTCCTTTTGATTTGTCTTTCGTGGAATATTGTTTCATATTCCTCTATTCGAAGCTTGGGTGACTACTATTTGTCGCTTTCAAATTACACGAGTATGTTATATTTTTTATTTTATGATATTCCTTGCATGCTTCTCTAGCTGCTTCAAGACTTAAGGCACAAACCATTGCATTGAATATAATATAATGATATTTCTAAAGAACTTTGTTTTCAATGTAAGTGCCTCTTACAAACTAATCATTGTGTGGTAAAATATATCTCTTATCTACTTTCTATTGAAAATGCTAGAACTAGAACGGATAAATGTTTTCTCTCACAAAAAATGAATTCGGGATTGAACTTTTTTCTTTACCACTCGTAATCTCCGTGGTTTAGATCCGAGTTTTCATTTTCTTTGCAATGTAACATTGCTTCTATATTAAACACTCATTCATACTCTAATTATTGATATCAATTAAACATCGTTACAAATCTTCTCTACTCTTTTTCTTTACCCGAAAAGAACTCCTTTGGTGTTAGTATAGTTAGGTGTCGATTTGTGCCTATAATTTCTCTATTTCTTTGTGTTTTTCGTATGTCGGTTGAGTTTCTTTTTTCTTGTTGTTTTGTTTCCTTTATGAGTTTTTTTCATGTCTTCACGTTAGCTGCAATTGCACAAAGTTTTGAATGTTCATGTAGATTGCACATTCTCATTTGCCAAGATTTATAGTTCTCTTAATTTTGACATCCATTGTTATGATGCCAATATTTTATTTTGTTAATTACATATGTCATTAAAACATGAGGGTGTTGTATTTAGTAGAATATTATATAACACGAATGCAATTTTAAATTCAAAAAACTATTATACAAACCTAGGTAACATCTATGTAAATAGCTTGACACTCTTTGTGAATATAATGTTATAATATTTTTCAATCAACTTAATTTTAGTCTTAATTGCTCTTACAAATCAATCATTGTGCGATAAAGGAGACCTCTTATTGTCTTTCAACTACAACTAGCTGTTAGAAATAGAAAAGATAAGCTGTCTTTTTTTCTTTAAAAAAAAAAATATAGGGATTCACTATTTATCTTTTATTATCGGTAGCAATCTTTGTGATCCTAATTTTCTCGTTCATTTTCTAGAATGTTGCACCATTGTTGCTTGCATTAAACATTCATTTATACTTTAATTATTTATGTGAATAAAACCCTTTGCAAATCTTCTTTCTTCCTTCCTTTTGCTAGCGAGCACACTTTTCTAATTTTGGGATACCGGATGGCCACTTCGGTGTTAGGATTTTTTTTTTTTGTTTCTTTATATCTATCAATTGTTACTTTTTTTTTCATTGTGAGTTGATTTTTAAAAATTTTTTATGTGTTACGTTAACTATAATTGCACTTTTTTTTTAAATAATTATGTTGATCTGTATGATACCATTTGGTAATATTATCAATGCCCCTAAAATTGTCATTCATTATGATGATATTGAAATTTTATTCTTCGACCTACACATGTTATGAAAACATTTAATATTTGTTTTGGTAGAATATCTTATTACAACTTTCCAATTCTAGAAGAACAAAAGAAGGAGATCCTTGAGACTTTTTAGAATAAAAGAAATGGTAACAACAATAGAATTGAAGAGAAAAATGATAGAGAAATAATTTCACTATGAAATAAAAAGAATACAAGAGATAATAACGTCAACAATTTTCTCATTCTCTACAAAATACTTATACATAAAACAATGAACAATCAAGCATATTTATAGGCTTTAAGATTAGGAAGAAAATTGAAAGAAATTATGAACCATTAAAAATACATAAATTGTTGAACTAATTACGTCAACCTTTCAATTTCTCATATTGAATGATAAATTATTCATGTTAAGAATTGTAAATACTAGAGATATAAAAAGCATGTAAACATTCATATGGATATTCATTATTTTATAACACTTACAAGATATATTAGATATATTAAAAAAGAAAGTAGAAGAGAAAAAGGAAAAAGAAAAAGAAAACAAAGGATAGATAATAGCCTATATATTTATTTACCAGGAAGTGAAGAACACATTAAGCCTACCTTAGTTAAAAAAGCATCTAGAACAAGAATTATACAATCCAAATTCTATAGTGTAAACTTAGAGCTCTCATAAATCTATCACAATCTATAATGAATTCTGAGAACACATTAAAAAAAATTCACCATGTTGAGGAAGCAGTCACTTTTCATTGTAGGTTGAACGTTTCTTAATTTTAATCCATTTGAAAATTAATATTTAAACATTTAATTTTGAATTTGATTTCACCCGAGTTTTAATTCTTTCTCTAAGTTTCAATCCATATTCTAGTTTTTTTTTCTTTTTTAAAATAATGGCCCGATAAATAATTTTATGATAGAAATCATTCAACAAAATTTATCTGAACATTTTAAAAAATTTAAAATCATTAGAAATGGTTTTCTATTTTTATTTTTTCTATATTTTTAATATTTTAAAAAATAAAAATATGTACTTTCTAACTATGAAAAAATATTATATTTTTCTAGAAAATAGATTAGATGTTGCTCAATATGTTTGCAAAATTCTAGCTAGTTCAAAATATTAAGAAATTTTCTTGGGAAAAAAATGATATTTAGGGATGGATTAAATAATAAAAAAGAATTAAAATTAAAATTAAAAGTTTTTAAATAAACTAAAATTTAAAAAAGTTTGGATTTTTTTAAAAAAAAATTTAACGAAGAGAATATATATATATATATATATATATATATACATACATACATACATACATACACAAAAGTTGTCATTGGCGATCTGCATCATATGCTTTCTTTTTATACAATTCCATGTTGAAATTTCTTCTTTTAATACTTTTTGGTCAAAGATTTGAATTCACTAAAATTGATCGGATTGGCAACTTGATTAGTCAACAAATCTTTTTTTTTTTTTTTAAAAAAAAAACCTTTGAGGTGTGCAAATTGATTTCTCTTCTCTAATGTCTATTAGCTAACCATTCATATCTTTGTCATTATGTACCCTGTATGTATTCATTATCTTGATTTTTTCTTTTGCCGGTCAAAACTTGTGCCTTCAAACAAACTCATCCAAGCTTTTGTGTGGTCCTCTTCCAACCTACAAGAATCTATCCTTTAGATCTCGAGTTTAGTTAAAGCTTTTGTGAAATATTATGGGAGCAGTGAAACTGATTGGATCTTATACAAGCCTGTTCTGCACAAGGGTTGAATGGGCTTTGAAGCTTAAAGAAGTGCAGTATGAATACTTAGAAGATGATGTATTCAATAAAAGTCCCCTCCTTCTTAAGCACAACCCTGTTCACAAGAAGGTCCCCGTTCTTGTCCATGATGACAAACCAATTGCTGAGTCACTTGTCATCCTTCAATACATCGATGAGACGTGGAAAGATAATCCCTTACTGCCTCAAGATCCTCATGAAAGAGCCACAGCTCTTTTTTGGGCTAAATTTGCTGACGAGAAGGTAAATATATTATATAATGGCATGGACTTAAACTATCTCTTTTATAGTTTGTTTCCTAAATCGATTGCAAATGACATGAAATTAGACTTTTATTATTCTATTTTCCCTTTTTTAAAGAGGAAGAACTCACACTCATATCATTCGGATGTAAGTCAGATAAAATTTAAATATGAACATAGCTAGCTCGATGTGATTGCGAATTGAATGAAAGTCGGTGAAAACGATTGGTAGCGCGCAAGAAGGGAGGGAGAGATTCTTTTCACAATATTGAACGAGAACCTGAACCATGGTCATGTTATGGATTTAATCTTTTAGTTCCTTTGATAGGTTTCCCATATTGGCTTCCCTTGTGTACTTATGGACACTAGACACAAGGGCATGGAATTAACATACAATTGTATGGAATCATACTCACTGAAAACTTAATTCCAATATATTTTTTACCTTGACAGTCTTGTAGATCTTGGAAAATTTTGCCCCAAACTAGGTTTCATATCTTTTTTTTCTCTATTATCGCAAGGGCAGTGTTTGGTAGAAGCATATACGGCTGCCTGGACTGAGGGAGAAGAAAAGGAGAAGGCCATAAAGTCTGCTCAAGAATCATTTGCATTTCTTGAGAAGCTGATTCAAGGGAAGAAATTTTTCAGTGGAGATGATAAGATAGGCTATTTGGATCTAGCAATGGGTTGGATTCCTCTCTGTATAGATGTTATGGAAGAAGTTGGAGGCATGAAACTGGTTGATGCTGAGAAGTTCCCATCTCTTCTTGAATGGGCTCAGAACTTCATTGAAATCCCACTCATCAAAGAACGTCTTCCACCAAGAGATGCTCTCTCCAACTACTTCAGTATAATTGTGAGCTACACGCGTGCACACAAGCAGTAACCTGCTGCACGCACGTTGGAGGAACGAGAAGAGCTAAAGCTTCTTTAAATATATACTAGTTCTTACTAGAAAGACTTAATTCAGAAGTCTGCTTGGTGAAAGATATTTTTGCCTACAGTAATTTTAGCGAGACTTGTATTATATAAGACTTAATTGAGATATATAGTGTTTTTAGCTCACTAATCTAAAAAGTCTAAATAATTCTTCATCTTATATTTTATTAATAAAAATTATTATTTTTTATGTCATTCGATCTCTTCATCAATAATCTTTCTGAGTGTTATAAGTTTTGTCAAAATAAAAAGTTAAAATAAAAATAATATTAATATTTAATTTATATAATTAATGATATTTTCTATTTACATTAAAAAATATTAATTAAAAATAAAAAAATACTTTCTATTTTGATTCTGAAAAGAGAAATAAAAACCTCACGCTCTCTAGCCCCTCACTTTAACACATGAACTTTTTTTAGGTTATTTTTTCCTCCCATCCCGCCCCTGTCAACAACAAACTGCCTCTATCCATTGAAATTGAAATTTTGATTTTCCATCTCTTATCCTTCAACATTAATAAACAACCCCCTTCCCTTGAATCTTCCCTTTCAACAACAAACCGTCCCCTTCCCTTGAACATCTCCTTCAACAATAAACCATCCATTCCCTTGGCAAAGGAATTAGGATTTTCATCTTCTCCATCAACAACAAAGAATTCTGGTTTTTCATCTTCCCCTCTAACCCCCAAAAATTAGGGTTTTTTTCTTCTACCCCTTTTCCTTGACAAAAGCAATGCTATGAAGTTCAATTGCATACCTAGACTCATTGATTCTTGACCGAGAAGGTCTTCAAAAGGTGGGTTTTCAAAATTTATGTAATACTCTCATAAGTGATATAATCTTGTCTATATGAGAGTCATATATTGTTTTTCTTAATTTCTGTCAGATTTTTAGGAATTTTTTTGTCAATATTAACAATTCATTTAAGGATATATCTACTTTGGTCAGAGAAGAAATGGATCTCCTCAAGATTGTTACTTCAGATCTGTATTTGTCACTTGAAAATGCTTCAACTAGTTTGAACTATTCTGTTTTTGCTTGTTATGCCATTTCCCATATTTTACTATCTAACTAATTTAATTTTTCCAAGTTCTTCTTGATTGGATAATTAGACTTGATATACTGAACCCTTTTTTGCAGGTCATTGTTTAATAGTTCAACCATGGTCACCAGACTTTCGAGCATCAGAAAAGAGGATTACCGAGGTGGTAGTTTGGGTTTATTTCTCGAATCTTCCAATCAGCTGTTACCATCCTCGAATTCTATCTACAATGGGAGATATAATTGGTAAGACAGTCTATATTAATCTTAATACGCAAATTAAATTTGCATGCATAGCTATTGACATTGATTTGCTCCAACCCCTTCAAGCTCACATTCAGATTGAGGATATTGTGCGAAAAATTACCTATGAAGGGTTCCTACAAATTTGCTACACATAGGGTCGGGTAGGACATAATAATTTCTTTTGTCCATCAAAAAAATCCAACAACCAAGCTTCTATGGATGAAGGTGTCTCAAGTGGTAGCAACATACCTCTTATCATAATCAGGTACACTCGACAATGACAAACCCTGTTTCAGATCATGGAGCGTTTGGTCTTTTGATTGATTTTCACACATTTAAGAGAGGCAATTGAGAGTAGTTAATTGCCAACTATTGATTTTCACGGGACATGTGATGTAATTATGTGAATGTGTTCCCATTGTCTTATGTATGATATTTTACAGTCATTTTTTTGGTAAACAATTTCATTTTCTTCGTTAAAGTTTCACCTACAACGAAAATCTTATCCCGTGTTTTTTTCACATTGCTGATTATGAAAGTCTCAAGTTAAAATAGGAAAAGCTAGTAAAGTTTACCAGCCAGGAACAAGCTTTTTAGTATAGGAGAATTAAAGTATATTAGTTCTAACTTCATTCTATTTGTTTTATTATAGGTCTTAAGCATTAATGATGCAAGCATTTCGGATGAAATTTTTCATATTGTTTCAATATGTTAATTCTATGTATAATTTTAGTTTTGGTAGATGTTTGGAATACTGCTTTCAGATCCGATAGTTTTTTTTTTTTAATTACTAGCCTGCTATCTTGTAGTTTATACATAAACTTTACTTGTTTAGAAATTAATTGTTATCTTTAATGAATTTTGTAGTTTTAATTTTTAGTCATTAGTAAGTTAATTGAATGAATTTTGTTACTAATTGGTATTTGGTTATGTATTGTAGATGCAAATAGGTTGATTGGTAGGAGATTTACTGATGCTTCAGTCTAGAGTATATTAAGCTTTGGCCATTCAAGGTCATTGTTGGTCCTAGTGACAAGCCAATGATTGTGGTTGCCTATAAGGGTAAGGAGAAGCAGTTTGCAGCTGTGGAGATTTCATCTATGATTCTCATTCAGATACGTGAGATTGCTAAAGCTTACCTTGGCTCCACTGTCAAGAATGTTGTGGTTATGGTCCCTGCTTACTTCAATCACTCTCAAAGACAGGCCACAAAGGATGCTGGTGTTATTGCTAGTTTGAATGTTATGTGTATTATCAATGAGCTTACTACTGCCGACATTGCTTATGGATTTGACAAGAAGGCAACCAGTATTGATAAGAAGAATGTGCTAATTTTTTATTTGGGTGATGGTATTTACTTTTGATAACAAAATGGTGAACCACTTTTTTCAAGAATTTGAGAAGAAGAATAAGAAGAATATTAGTGGAAATCCTAGAGCACTTAGGAGGTTGAGAACTGCTTGTGAGAGGGTGAAGAGGACTCTCTCATCTACTACTCAGATAACTATTGAGATTGATTCCTTGTTTGGGGGTATTGACTTTTAATACATTAGCTACTTATTTTAAACATATCTGAAACTTTGTTTATGTATACTTTGTTTATGTATTTCGAACAAGCTTTTAGTACTTTTTTTTCCCTTATGGATGTTTGAAAACTTTTGATGTATTTAGAATTTGATAATGATAAATTTAAGAATATCATGTAAGCTATATAATTTTTCTTTTATTTGCATTCAACAAGATGTAATTTTTTAAAATTTATTTTTGACCAAATAATTGAATTTAAAGGCAGAATAAAAATAAATTTTAAATGCCATTGCACAAATTTGAGGTGAGGTGGGTTGAAACTGTTCCTATTAATTTAAAACAAAAAATCCAAATATGTAAACTGCCTAAAAAATTACACAAGAGGCAAGAGTTGTAACCGGCCTCAAAGAATTTAGTTTGAGGTGGTTCTAATTGGCTCAAAGAACCAACCTCACAATTCCCTCGCGGTTGCCAAAACCGCCTCTATAACGTAGAGACGGTGGCATTGCAGGTGGTTTTGAGGCGGTTCATAAAATCACCTCTACAAATTATCGAGGCGGTTATAACTGCCTCTAAATGTGAAAAAAACCACCTGCAATGGTTGTTTTTGGTGTAGTGTAAGTTGCCCTAATGTTGTCACACCACAACAACGGTGTTTTTAGCAATGGAATTCCTAACTGATTGAGTAATGATTTTATCCAAACAATCTTAACAGCTACATCTGCCATTGTTTTGTATTCAGCATCTAAGAGCTCTGCGACACTACTTGGATGATTTGCAAGAGAATAAATTACACTCAAGATAGATAACAAAACCATGAGTTGATTTTTGATCGTCTAAACACCCTGTCTAATTAGAGTTTGAAAAACCATGCAATAATAAGCTGCTATGGCATGCAAGAAACTAACATTGATCCATTGTCTTTTAAATAAGGAAATATCCGTTTTACAGCCATCCAATGTTCAACTTTTGGTTCATGTATGAATTAGTAGACCTTATTGACGGCAAAAGCGACGTCCGATCTAGTAAGTGTGACATATTGCATCGGGGATAATTACACTATAAATACATCAATTTTCAACTTTTTCTCAATGGATTACATAAACTTTAATTTTTTTTATTCAAGTATATATACTAACTTTTTCAAAACTGTCGGTTAAGTACTTCGTCAATTTTTTCGTTAACTAATGACATGTTTGTTACCCTTAAAATATAAATTATAATTTTACCTCTTTTCTCAAATGAGTATATGAACTTTTATTTTTTTGTCTAAGTACATCAATTTTTTCAAAACTATCAATCAAGTACTTTCATCAATTTTTTTCGTTAATTGATGACGTATTCATTGTTCAAGTTCCACGTTCATGTTAAAATTTATTGTTCGTATATACCTTTACTAGAACTAATCATGTTCTTTTTTGGAATTTTTTCCTAATTATTTCTTGAAAAAGATACGTACAAGATAATCCTACATAAAGGACCTTTAGACAATGGCCTTTTACACCATGCTATTTGAACTGACTCCATCATTGAGTTTTGCCTAAGCTAACTCATGTAGTCTCTCAACATAGCATGCTCGTTTAGGACCTCATTCCATATGCATAGTAGAACACATTTTAAATCAATATACCTTTTCTATTTCCAAAAATCAAATAAACACTTTACGTCATGCTTGTTCTATTAGCAAACCTTATAAGCTTCAATTTTCTGTTTTAGACTACCGAGCCCAAGCTTCTCTAGAAATTGTGTGTTATGATTTATGGAGACCTTCCCCAATTCTATCTTTATAGGGTCATATTTATTATATTATGTTTTATGATAATTTTAGTAAATATTGTTGGATTTACTTTCTAAATTTTAAATATGAGGTTCTATGTTTACTTCATCAAATTTCAACATCTTGTTAAAAAAAAAATTTAATCGACCAATCAAAAATTTTCAAACAAACTACAAGGTGAGTTTCAAAGCCTAACATCTTACTTAAATGAACACGGTATTGTTCGATATACCTCGAGTCCTCATACCTCATAACAAAATAGTTGTGCTAAAAGAAAGCATAAACATATCATTAAAACTCGTCAAAGCCCTACTTCATCATACATTTGTACCATTAAAATTTTGGGATTATGCTTTTACCACCGTTACCTATTACATCAAAATCGCCTTCCTACCCCATTATTTGATTCTAAATCTTCATATGAAGTTCTTTTGTAGAAACCACCATATTATAATTTTTTACTGTTCTCCGGCTCCTCTTTTATCCTTGGCTTCGCCCATATGCTAAAAACAAATTAGAACCTCGTTCACGGTGTTATAAGTACTTATTGTTTCTAATAAAATTTACATCTCATGTCATGTGGTTTTTTATTAGAAAAATTTTTCATCCAAGGAGGCCAAGGGTGATGCTTCATCCACTACTTCTAGACCTATCATCATTGTCTTTATTTTTTCATTTTAGTATTCTTCACTACTACTCGTCCTAACATATGCTACCATTTGATCCTAAAATTATATAAAAAAAAAAACTAAAAGAAGTGGGTTGCTCATATTCATTAACTATAGCTACACACTCAAACATGCATGTTTTTTTGGCATCTTGGTCCCTCATTCTTTGAGAGATAAATTAATTAGTCTATTTGGTTTGAAAACTATTTTTTTTTTGGTCCTTTTCACCATTTTACTATTTTTATTTTTTCTTTTAAGAAATAGAAAAAAAAACAAAAAAAATTCTTTAAGGAATAAATTAATTAGTCTCTTTGGTTTGAAAACTATTTTTTTTTTATCCTTTTGGCCATTTTCATTTATCTGTAGCAGTCCCCACCCCCCACCCCACCCCCCTCTTTTTTATGCCATCCATTCTTCAATATCCTAATTTCACTCATGCATCGTTCTCCATTCTCTAATAAATAGACTCTGTAACCTTCATTGTCTTGGAGGTAATACAATTTGTTGACTAATTTATCCTATTTTCCAACTATTAAATTATTTATAGGACTATTACTATAGTTAATAATTATAATATATTATCATTATATTTTATAAAAAAATAGTAGTGTTTTTTTTTTTTTTTTGCTAACATCCGACCTCCTTCTTTTTTTTTAGTTTCTATATTTTAGGACTATTATTATGTGATCAAATATATTATTTAGGTCATTATTTATTAGAAATATATTTTGTTTAAATAATGAAATTATTTATAGTTAATAATTATAATACATTATCATTATATTTTACAAAAACCTATCAAATAAATATTATAAAATAGTTATTTGTATTTTGATTGTGAATATTGTATTTATGCAGTGCTTTTTTGTTTTTGTTTTTTTTTTAACGTATGGCCTAATTTTTTTTTTCTGTTTTTATATTTTTAGGACCATTATTATATGGTCAAATAAATTATTTACGTCTTTATTTATTAGAAATATATTTTTTTTAAATAATACAATTATTTATAGCTAATAATTATAATATATTATCATTATATTTTACAAAAACCTATCAAATAAATATTATAAAATAGTTATTTGTATTTTGATTGTGAATATTGTATTTATGTAGTGCTTTTTTGTTTTTTTTTTAACGTATGGCCTAATTTTTTTTTTTCAGTTTTTATATTTTTGGGACCATTATTATATGGTCAAATATATTATTTAGGTCCTTATTTATTAGAAATATATTTTGTTAAAATAAAAAAATTATTTATAGCTAATAATTATAATATATTATCATTATATTTTACAAATAATTATTATAAAATAATTATTTGTAAAATATAATTATTATAAAATATTTATTTTTATTGTGATTGTGAATATTGTATTTATTATACAATATAATATTTTGTTATTATTTTATATTATAATATAAATAATATATTGATATATTATTTTACGAATTTGAATATATATAAAAATTGATAAGTATTTTAGTAATATAATATATTTGATAATTATACCACACAATTAAATTAATGTTACATTGTATTAGTTAAATATTATTTTAAATATATTGGTATAATAATATAATATTTATTAATAAATGATTTATTTAAATATCGGATGACGAGTTGTTCCTCTTTTATATAAATAATGTTTTTATATTTTTTTATCATGAAATTAGGTGTGAAAATATAAAAAAAGATTGTTATTTTTTTATTTTGTGTATAGTTTGACAATAATAGAATATATATGATATTTTTTAAAATTTTAGTTTGAACATATATATCCGATTATATTATTTTTATTATTTAAAATTTATTTCTTCAATTGTTTGTTTCTTATTAAAATTCTGATCGAATTAATTTTTAAATTTTATATGTTAATAAATTTGAATTTTTTATACATGGCTTTTGAAATAAAATTTTAGAACCTAATCATTTTATTTTTTAAAATATATTATTATAATTTATATGATTGATTATTTTTATGATTTTTCAATGAAAATGACATTATCGCTATATAAATTTTAATGAGAAAGAGAGAGCTAGAAGTGTGTTTTAGATATTATAATTATTCTAAAAAAAAACTAAAAGGACTAAGGTTTTCCCTATTCATTTATCGTAGCGTTTTATTTATTGATTTATTTTTTTAGTGCTAGCTCGAGAAACGAGCTCCAGTAGCTTGTCCGACTCATTTTATTATAGTTTTTTTTTTTTATATATATATATATATATATGTATATTAAAGGATCGCTGGAGAAGCATTTTTTTTATGGGGCTGGCGTTGAGAAGCGAGCTTAAGAAGACCTACATAAGTAGTCCCAACCGGCGTTTGCTTTTTTTTTTCCTTCTAATAATTTATTTTTATATTTTTTTATCATGAAATTAGGTGTGAAAATATAAAAAAATATCGTTATTTATTTTAGTTTTGCGAATATTTTTATGGTAATAGAATATATATAATATTTTAAAAAATTTTAGTTTAAACATATATATCTGATCATATTATTTTTATTGTTTAAAATTTATTTCTTCAATTGTTTGTTTCTTATTAAAATTCTCATCGAATTAATTTTTTAAT